CCCCCCCCCCCCCTCCCTTCCAGCCAATATAAACTGTTCCACCGCCACTGCTTTCCCGCAGGTTTTGAAGGCCAAAACCAAGTTGCATAATATTGTTTAAAAAATCGTCTGACGATTTTTATTTCCGTTTCAAGCGCTTTCTGAAAATGCCCGCGACTTATCAGGAATTCGCAACTTGACTTTTACATTTAGGAAACTCAATAGCCAAAAAACTAAGTCCTTCCACACAATAGTAGCTTTGTATGTCTTAAGTAACAAGATATCTATAAAGTTTTCAAAGATGTTTATGTTTATTCTTTAAATATAGCCTAGAAATGAAACCATTCACGACAAACAAACAAAAATTATTACGTTTGCTAGCTGACACGGATACTAAGCACAAGTTACAATAAATGACAGATTCAGAAGCACATGAAATTGATATAAGTTTTAAATTGTATAGTTTAGTAACTTGCAAACATCAGCCCCCTCCTCCCCGTTCCCCGGCGATTTAGGGGTTAATGCAGGTTCGTTGAAAGCTTGACTATGTTTTAGGCTATATTGAAATACCTATATAACCCATATTAATATCTTAATTGCTCAAAACCTTGAAAATAAGCTTAACTTTTTATGCCCCTTAATTCACACTTTAACAGTACTGTCCCAATATATATAAAGGACGTATATACGAAGGACATATATACCGTAAAAATTAAATTGAAGTCGGTTTTTAACATTCACCTGATCAGGCGAGCCAAAAATGACGGGAAGCGGAAGTACGAGCATATTATTGGTAATTTTGACTAGCTGCATGTTCATTACTGATTCAAGAGTGTTATTAATATATTTGTATGGTAAAACGCAGAAGTTGATTTAAACATTATATCCAATGGTGTCTATAGAGAAGATGCCTAAAACCTAGTCAGCATAGGCCTTAGCTATATACTAAAAGATTGAAACTACTTCAGCACGTATCCATATAGCTAAGGCCATTATAAGGAGATTTGGAAATGATTTTAGACGGAAATGTCTAGTATCAACATCTGGTCAAACTGAAGACAAATGTTTGCAACTCGTACCCTTTTGTGAAATCACATTTTAACATTTATCAAATCCGCAAACAATACGTCTTTCCAGATTGTATTATTAGATAAATTTATTTATAGAACTCTGTTGATTTTCCATTCTCATTGAGGTCAGGGGAATCATATACACCTGACTACATTACACCAACACAGAAAGAAAATCATTTTTTGTGTTGTGAGTATATACATGCAAATATTTTCTCAAATGCAATTTTGTGTTGAGATGTCAATACAGATGACAGCCAGGGGAAATAACACAGTTATTGGGAGAGAGCTCTAGAACAAAGTGGTTCAGACTGTATATATGATAATTATAAAACTTGTGTTGTGGTATATATATGCATGGAAATAACATACGTATATAAGCACTGAAGTTCAGCCATTCCGTTCTTTAATAAGGAGATCGTAGTTAACGACTGAGCGTATACAAATCTATAAATCTCTCTATAGCATGATAATTAACTTGTTTTTATGTCGATTAAATCGCATTGGAATAGAGCCAACAAAACTAAAAGTAATTTCGGAAGGAGTGACGAAAGCGACAAAGGAACAGTTTAAAGTGTCTAGATTTCATCTCTTTGTTTTTCGAAATCAACTCAGTTGATTTTCCGTCCTCATTGAGGTCAGGGGAATTAACGTCCTTGAATAATAATTAATTTCTTTGTATAATTTTAAAATATTAATGCACTATATAGAGTTCTCTAGATTCAGTACTCAACAAATATACAACTATATATTGGCTTAGTGACATAATCAATAATGAAAGAAGCACGATTTGGAAGGGAGACCCACACTGTGGCATTTTCAAATTCTCTCTCTTAGAACAGGCACATCAATTGGCAAAGCATTGAACTATAGCATTCCAAAGGTCGTAGATTCGTTTGCCACCGTGGCCAGGCATATATACACTCAGAGTAACATGACAAGCAATACAAAAAATATTTGGAGGTCATAAAGACGCACAATTTGCAGATTGCAATGATTTCAATGAGTTCATGCACACATGAGAAATAATTGTCCACATTAATGAAAAGCATGAAGTGAAAGGACTTATGATCCAACTAGTGCCTTTCCAAATAAGGTTTAGTTCGCCTGGCCCTGCTTTGTTTTTCTATAACAAACCAGGTAGTTACCATGCAAGGATTTGTAGGCTAATTACTAGATTACATTGATATCGAAGGAACTAGATTCGGTTCTGAAATATCACATACTCGAACCAACCTGCCCGTGTAGCTCAGTTGGCAGAGCATTGGGCTAGTATTACAAAGGTAGTAGGTTTTTCAAGCTTGCCAGGTGTGGATATACACTCATAGTAACATCATAAGCATGTATTCACATGACTAAATTACACCAACACAGAAAAAAGTTTTTGTGTTGTGAGTGTATACATGCAAATATTTTCTCAAATGTAATTTTGTGTTGAGATGTAAATATAGATGACAGCGAGGGGAAATAACACAGTTATTGAGAGAGCTCCAGAACAAAGAGGTTCAGACTGCACGCCTTTGTATGATAATTATCAAATCTGCACGTGCAGACTGTGCACAAACGCACGCAAATAGTTAAAATTTGCATAATAAGTACCTTGTTTTTGCAGTATAAAAACACCAGAGTAGTACCAGGGGAACTAAACATTATTTAGCAAGGGAGCGCCAAAGAAATCTTCATGCTTGAACTTTGACTCATTGCTGACTTCAAGTTCTATTCTGTCGAAACATCAAGTGTGTTATTTGCAGCAAGCTACAAGATGGTTTGCCATAAAGTTTTCTCTGCAATTCTGATAATATTTTGTCTCGTCCATGCGAACTTTGGTGCGCATAATAGCGAACTGTAGATAAGGTATTCTTATCTACAACTTAAACATTTTGCGAACTATATTTCGTAGAACTGAGTTGCGCCAGCTAAACGTTTGGAAAGATTGTAAGACTATCAAGGGAGTGAACTGGAGATAAGGTATTCTTATCTACAACTTAAACATTTTGCGAACTATATTTCGTAGAACTGAGTTGCGCCAGCTAAACGTTTGGAAAGATTGTAAGACTATCAAGGGAGTGAACTGGAGATAAGGTATTCTTATCTACAACTTAAACATTTTGCGAACTATATTTCGTAGAACTGAGTTGCGCCAGCTAAACGTTTGGAAAGATTGTAAGACTATCAAGGGAGTGAACTGGAGATAAGGTATTCTTATCTACAACTTAAACATTTTGCGAACTATATTTCGTAGAACTGAGTTGCGCCAGCTAAACGTTTGGAAAGATTGTAAGACTATCAAGGGAGTGAACTGGAGATAAGGTATTCTTATCTACAACTTAAACATTTTGCGAACTATATTTCGTAGAACTGAGTTGCGCCAGCTAAACGTTTGGAAAGATTGTAAGACTATCAAGGGAGTGAACTGGAGATAAGGTATTCTTATCTACAACTTAAACATTTTGCGAACTATATTTCGTAGAACTGAGTTGCGCCAGCTAAACGTTTGGAAAGATTGTAAGACTATCAAGGGAGTGAACTGGAGATAAGGTATTCTTATCTACAACTTAAACATTTTGCGAACTATATTTCGTAGAACTGAGTTGCGCCAGCTAAACGTTTGGAAAGATTGTAAGACTATCAAGGGAGTGAACTGGAGATAAGGTATTCTTATCTACAACTTAAACATTTTGCGAACTATATTTCGTAGAACTGAGTTGCGCCAGCTAAACGTTTGGAAAGATTGTAAGACTATCAAGGGAGTAACTAATCCATCCTTAGTCATTTCATTTAAAATGGAGATATATGTAACAGCCCTATACGTTCTGAACAGTTCTCCTTTATTCATGGTCAAAATTTATTGTTTAAGCTATGCAAATAGCATTTTTTCGTTAGGTATGTAACTCGCTCCAACAGATATAGCGATTTTTTCAACCACTCTAAAATTGTCAGCCTGTTAATCATAAATATAAAAAATAAAGTTTCGTTTTATTGATTGCAAGGACTGCGATTCGTACTCACTACTGAGCCCCTACAAAAACTTGCTGACACCGGCGAAACTGAATTTCATTATCCCACCTACTGGGAAGCTGTTCGTTTCAATTTGTGCTGCAGAAATCATCCGTTATATGGTAGCTCATAATATCTGCAAGGGTCAATAGGGTGCTGATGTAGCAGTGAACTTCAATATAATAAATTTTATTTCGAAACAATCTAGTTTATTTACAACAGTATTAAAACAGGTTTAGCTAATTCGTCATTGTTCATTCGATAGGGATAAAATAAATAATGATAATGTTGTTCAATCGGATGTCCAAGATTCAAACTATCCACCGCAAGGCCTGCCGGGAAGAGATGGTAAGGGGCCCGACATTCTTTTTCATATTATTATTTTACATTATTTATTATTTAGTATTAGTATAATTATATAGGTGATCATTGAAAATTGTCCACGCTGATTGGTTGCCGTTGAGGTGATTATTACGCGATAATCACCTAAGCGATTTTCAAATTGGCGGCCGAAGCCGTTTTGTCAATTAAATGACGAAGAAATATGTATTTTTTATATTTTTTTCCAAATAATCACCTATGAAATTATACTAAAACAATTATTCACCTCAGGCTCGCTGATTATCGTGAATAAAAACCTCGACTTCGTCTCGGTTTTTATTCACCGATAATCACCTCGCCTTCGGCGAATAATTGTTAATAGTCTAGGACCTGTATATGAGTTTGTATGCGATTCATTTAGGACAGGTAATCTCAAATGTTTTAGGGTAAAATGACCATGGCGGTCAACATGGCATATGTGCGAAAACCTGAATCCGGGGCGAAAGTCCTGAAAATGACCCCGCCCTGAAACGGCAGTGTCGACATAGCTCTAACTTCAGAAAAGGAAAAGCGATAGCCTTTCTGAAGTGCTTATAGTGTTTAGAAGGGTTGCTTTTAGGGGTGGTCATTGAAGGAAAAATTTGTC